AAGAAATAATATATCATTTATTCTATTTTTCAGAAATAATTCGAATTATATAAAGATTGTTCGAAAATAAATTAATTGAAAAAATAAGAAACCTTTATTTATAAAATAATTCATGAATTATAATTTATCATTTTCTAGAATAGAAATATTCAGAAACTCAATATTTAAATTATATTATTTCCCATATTTAGTATACCTTTAAATATTAAATCCAGAAAATATATTTCTAGAAAATATCATAAAAATATAAAACCTAAAAATATATTTGAAATTTTTAAAATCTATAAATTTTAGTACCATCAAAGTTTCAATAATTATTTTTCGCAAGATAAATTAATTTAAGAATAAATATGTCATAAGAATAAATATTCAATATCGTGAACTAGAATCGCCTCGCCCTAGGGAAAGTTTCCTCTATGTACTGCCAATGGAAATATTGATTTAAAATTTTATGATATAAATCTCCAATTGTACAGATTTCTGCCATTTTCGTAGGAAAAGACCTGACAGGACCCAGAGAAGAGTGATTTGGCAATACTGTAATCATCGGTATGAAAATTGGGATGCCGGTTCAACCCTACGAAGAAAGATCCCTAACCTTTTGCTGAGCCGGCGATGTCAATGCGCAAACCTGTCCATGCAGCAGGGCTGACAACTGGCCACGAGACTCGATCTGGGTTTGCGCCTTGTGCAAGTTCTTGTGCCAATTGCTGCTGCGACCTGAGGTGAGGGCTCCTCTTACTTGACGAACTTTCAGACGTGCTCTGAGGCTTCGGCGCATCGTCCACCAGCTGTGCTTGGCGCTGAGTGAGTGTCGTCCGCCAAGAGCCTGGGCCAACATCGGTGCGGGGGACACAATTCCAGCATTGTTGAGCATGCTGCATCTGCACGCCCCGTCGCTGCTTTTGTGATGTCTTGTTGCTATATCTCTGAGCACGACCTCAGCCGATACTCGGAACCTGTCCAAGGGGGAGCTCACCGTTTCGTCGCCGCTCGACAACACGAGCCGAGAGATGAGCCAAGGACTCCAAAGCCTCCGGCGCTCGAAAGGCTTTGCCTTTGCCGCCGAGCGTGTCCCGAAACTGAAGCCTCGAAGTCGCTGCAGTCGTTGCGGTCGCAGTCGCTGCATGGGCCGCAGGGGTGCCTTCGACCTGATTCGGCTCGGGCTCGGCCCGCACGGCCGGAGCCGCCAAATCTCCGTGCTCTTGGCTGAGGCCATTCGCGAGGCTCTCGATTTGAGACAGAAGGGATCCTTCCTGTAGAACTTCCCGCAGTAGCCGAAGCTCCTCCACGGGGGCAGGGTGCAAGGCACAACAACCCTACTGTGGCTGCAAACCATTGCATCTCAGGTCCTGGGCCAGCAAGGCGGTCTGGTCTCGCAGAAGCCGTACCTCTTCCGTATGTTCTTCGACGTTAGAGGCCGGCAGCTCTCGCTGCAGTCTTTCCAGCAGTGCCTTTCGGTTCGGCGGCGACACGTCTAAGTCCTCCCGGGCTGGGAAATGGCCGACAGCTCCGCGTCGTTGTCGGTTGCGGGATGGGCCAGCCGAGAAGTGGTCCAGTCGGCCCACGAAGGCCACAAAGCTCCCCCGGCTGCCCAGGCTCCCCAATCCCAGCCATCCCAGCAGGGCAAGTGCGCAACCGAACCGCGCCATGGCGAAAGACTCTTCGGCCCTTCTCCCGATCTACGTCATGCCATCCCCGCTTGAGCATGAGACACAGTTCAGCACTTCCAAAATGAGAGAGGCGGAGGACATGTCACTCCCACCTTGCAGTGACTTAAAAGCAGATGCATTTTCTCCACCTGCTTGTTCATCAGGAGCACAAAACGTACTCCATCGCAGCATCGGGATGGAAAAGGTGGGAGCGGCGGATCTCGAATTCTCAAGCAGACCGCTGCTGCCAAGAATTCCCTGCCGCAAGAGTGCAGGGACAACGCTCAACTCCAGGCTTCTCCCGCAGCTCGCAGAATCACCTGGGTTGCAGATCAAGCCGTTGCCTCGCAGATTTGCTTTGGTCAGCAGGTCCCGGCCTCACCCGGTTTCAGGCCCAGCTTCGTCAGCTCTGCAGCTATTGCCTAAAAGATCCGGATGTGCATTTGACACTGAAATAATGAAATCATCCGGCTCTGAGCCGAAACAAGCACGCTTCTGAATCTCGAGCGCAGAGAGGACGAACGAGTAAAATTCGGAAGTCTCGGAAGGTCCCGCGAAACCTCTGTCGAGTTTCTGTGAGAAACGCGCATTGCCAAAGACATACGTTCACGCCGTCGAACTGTACTGAAGAGCTTCATCGAAGTCGAGACTGCAGGTTAGTTCTTCTGTTCACCCACCAGAATCTCAGGAGAATGCTACCCCAGCCTGATGAAAGTTTGAGATTCCCTGACCTCCCTGCGAGCCTTCGCCACACAACTTTCGTTGACCTGTTGCGAGCTCACAACATGTGGCACAAAACGCATTCATGACATGCGTCCCGCATGAAGTCATGCGCAGAAGTGCCTCACCCAGCCAGGTCTTCAAGCAAATCTCAGCCTCCGTGGCCACAGGCTTCAAGTGTATGACGTGGAAGCAGTACAGAAAAGAGTGAGCCGCCTCTTTCAACCCGAACTCATGCGAGCACACGGCTTCGCAGCCAGCACCCTTTGCAACTTCCATCCACTTTGGAGCCTTGGCAAACCAGTCGATCCACGAAGGTATAGTATAGGACCTCGTACCCTACCGGAGCAACTTGTTCCAAATGCCTTTCCCCAAGCCAAGCTGCCACATTTGGAAAGAGCGGAGATGCATCTATCACTTTTGGCTTCAACGCCCTCGGCATGAGAGTATTCTTACAGTCCTCTTCTGGTACTTGACGAAACCTGTTCACTCTATTCACTCACAGCACATGCTTCTTTCAAACAAGGCTCTGGAAAACTGGTTTGAAGGTTTCGTCGAGCAGGTCAGCAGGCCACTCTGACCTTCGTTCCGGCACAGCAAACTACTACGACGCTACCACGTACGGATCCCAAGACATGTACGTCAAGGATGCACGAGTACCTTTTGCAGGCTGCTTTCGCATTCACACCGCAGAGCAGGCAAGAGGCTCGAGAGACACCACGACGTCTAAAGTCTTGCAGCTCCGAACCTTGCGGCAATGAGCACAATTAAGAGTATGTGCAGCGCAGCGAACACGAGGAAAAGCAGCAGGCCTCGCTGGGTTCCCACAGCTCAGAGGATGCAGCCTGGGAGACCACAAAATGACAGCGTCTTGTCCGTCTGCACACTGTCTCGTCGGTTCAGGTCACACTGTGCGGACAAGCTTCGCCGCTCGAGCCTGTAACGTCGCAAACACGAGTCTCCTCGAAGCCTGCAGCACGAAGGCCTCCAAGTATGGCATTCTTCGATGGGCCCGAACCGAGGACAAGCACCGTCCTCTTCTGGGCCTTGGTCTCCAGCTTGTCTACGAGCGCCTGTGACTTCACGCTGTGGCCCGCAGGCTTTGTGTCACCAGCAGCGATGCAGTCGACATAGGTGGACGATTTTGCCAAAGTCGATAGGCATAGCCCTGTCGCTTCCTCAACTTCTGGAGAATAGTGTCCACACAGGACGTCCAGAAGGAGTGTGCCACCAGTCGATGCCAGGCATGCCAAGCGAGAAGCCTCTTCGGCTGTGCTTGCGTAGTCCACGATGCAAGCATGAGGCAATCCAGCTAGCCTGAAGTACGCGCTGAACATGTCCCTGTAAAAGCCAGACACTTTGCTGCACTCTGTTGTGCAGGAACTTTCCCAGGGGCTGATAACCGCGAACTGTCTAGATGTGCCGAAAAGGCTCAGGGATCTTCTAATGGAAAGAATGTCTTTCACGGACATTTGCCCGGGAGCACCTGGAGTCAACCCAGGATGCATAGAGGGGCACATAACCTGATTGAGCACTCTGGACAGCTTTCCAGTCTCGCCAAGGCAGAGCCCAATAAACGCTGCTGTATCTGGGACCGAAGCTTTCCTAGGCTCCCAGCTGCCCGCACTCGGCAGGGTTGGTGCACACAGTATGTAGCGTACTAGATTGAGGCGCCCGCCCTGCTTCCTGCACGGCCCAGTTGTCCTCCCTTACTTGTGGCTTCACCACTACTTTCGCGATGGCCGCTGTGCCCTCGAGCAAGCACTTCTTGTACCTTGGCTGTGCGAGAGCGGCTGTGAATCAGAATGTACCGTCACTGCTCCGAGGCACACATCCGCCAGCTCAGTCCGATCGAGCATCCTGCAAATTTCAGAGGTCAGGAACTGCAGTTGTCTGGAACAAAATACATGTACCGACGGTGCACGCTACTGTGGCAACGAATGCCGGGAAGGAAAGCCGGCCCACATTGCAATTCCCAGCATGAGCTGCATGCTTGCCGTCCTGTCAAAGTTGTGGTATGAGCCGACCAACTTCGTAGGACCTTTTCTTGCCGCGAGTGCTGCAATCTTCGGAGTACTCCACGTACATTCCTGGACGGAGCTTAGCACTTCGACTCGCACTCCATGTCTTGTGGTAAGCTTATCCAATGCCGCAACTTCGCAAAGTATCTATGCCTTTGTAGACACACATACATACTTGTACAGCGATACCTGTAGATACCGGTAGTATGTCAGTGTAATCATGTACGCGCAATACCAGCGCGTCCAGATGATTTATTCGTACACGGCGGCATAACATGCAACAGGAGCCAGGGCTCCACGTCTAGGAATTCAGCGCAAAGCTGAAGCCCTAGGATGTTCAGCTCAAAATACCTCGGCTGAAAAGGGTGCTGCAGACTTACAAGAATCGGAAGTGCGGTCGCTGCCACTACCCTTCTGTTTTCGAGTGCTTCTTTCTCACACATAACGAAATCATTGCCAGGTGGCTCATCCTCAGACCCTGCGAACTTCCCTCCGTGATCCACGGAACCTTAAGCCCAAGCGGAAATTTTGGCACAAGGTCCGTCGAGAGCGCAACCCTTCCGCACTTTTTTGTTTTAGCACTCGCGCTCGAAGCTCAGGGGAGGGTTAGGACAGGGAGGACAAATAGCTATGAGCAGCTCATCACGAACCACAAGAAAGGTAGCACTCTGGCATCTGCACAACAGACGAGCATGCTGAAAGTACGCGTCACACACTCTCCCAACCTCACTTTACAACCGTCGGGCTTCTGGACGCCCATAAACTCCATGGCCCGATCTAGCATGGAAGTCGTGCAGCAACAGCAGGTATCTGCTGGCGTGCCTGTGACATGAGTATGGCTGGCCGCACGGCGATTTAAGATGTTAAGCAGGCGTGCGGAATTCCGTTCGTAAGCGAACTTAAGGCTGCTTTCACTCTGCACAGACGGCGAGTGCCGAATGATACTTGACTTACAGTTTGCCGAGCGTTCTGGCGAAAACCTACGACCTATAACACAAGCAACGCACACTGGAGCAGAAACAAGGCTAGCTTATAAACACAGGGTCAGTACATGGAGGCATGCTTGGCCATCTGTACATATCGGAATGCCAGGGCGTTTAATCGAAGGCAGGATTCTGCCGATGCCCGTCCACAGCTTCGGGAAGCGTCCCGCCCCCAGCTCTCTGAGACATGGACGTACAGTGTACAGCAAAGGAGTGCCGGGAGCGATCCGACGCACGAGGGCCACCTGCACCGAGCGCTTACGTTCGAATTCTCGCTAGTCTTCAAGGGTTCGGTCCATGGTTGGGCCTGGAAGTGCCGTCTGGACAGGTTGGAGAGTCAGGAGTTTATCATGCAATGTGGCAGAACCGAGGCCTTCGGAGAGGAGGCGTTCTCTCTTCCGTGAGACACCTCGACACCTGGCCTGGTGCACGATGTTGCCATGATCCAGCGAACCGAGGAGGTCGACCCTGAACTCCAGCACATCTGCAGCTCGGGCAGCTGAGCGGAGAATCTCCGCAGAAACCTCACGGATCTGGCATTGCATGCTCCTTTGCTAAGTTCCCGTCATCATGTTCCCGAAGCGTCCCCAACTCGCTTCAATGCAGTTTGAACACGAAGCAGTAGTCTGCAGTTTGCTGGACATGAAAATCCTGGTTTGTTGTATGCATGCAGTAAGCCCTTCCGCCCCTTTTGGCTTGTGCGTGGGTTGACTGGGCTCTCTTGTCATGATGCATAATGCCGGCCTCGCCGTAGTCAGCTGCGGTGAGCGTGATGAAGAAGGAGTCGCTCACTACAGCCGGAGACAGGCAGCCCACGGCAGAACTGACCTTGTTTCGTGCGGAGTCGGGATTGGCTTGAGTTTTGCTTTACCCGAGCTCCGTGCAAAGCGGGCAAAAGCGGACGTCAGGGAGTGCAAATCTGACTCCCCTAGGGCCACTGGAAAGCGGAAGTCAGCGGCCTGCACCTCAACGTGAAATCGCAAACTGCGCTCCAACCCCTTCTGCTACTAAATAGCAGCTACTTAGTGACTTGTCTAGCTCGTGCTGAGAATCCGCGCGAGACATATCTTCATGCTCCTTTGTCAACGTTGTCATGACAAGGGCCGTAGGCCCTGCAGCCAAGGCGACATATTTTGGAAGGCGGCGCTTGTAGGTGTCCTGCAGGGCATGTAAAAACGATACAAGCACGGGAGTCAAAGCCACTGAGCGTGTCCCTGGGATGCTCCCCGAGAGATGCTCTGTGAACTTGGGCGGACGGATCACCCCTGGGCTCAACTGACACACATCAGCAAGCTTCCGGATGCAAGGCAAGGCTTCATGGATGAACATGGGTGACTTGATTGCCTGCTGTCTGCCAAGGATCTCCAAGGTTTTCACTATGTCATCGATCGGCCGGTCAATCAAGACCACCTTCACAGGCCACAGCAGGCCGTACATTGACGGCCCTGCCACGCCACGACAACAGTATCCCTGTCGAAATCAAAGCGGCCAAGCGTCGGGATGATGGCTGCTCATCAAATCCATGCCCCGAGAGGTTTCGATAATACCCCCGCCGCAGGCGATGATCTTGGCCTGTAACTGTCAGCAAGAGTTGTTAAGTGAGCAGCATCGCACAGCCCAAATATGTCTGGCCTTGCTGCCCGAGGCCGCCTTCTGAAAGCAGTCCGCCTCCAAGGCACGGAAGGCCTCCCAGCCTTCCAGGCAGGCGGTCATACACGGCCGTGCGCTGAGGCTCTGCACGGCCTTGCTCTGCTACGATTTGGGGTGGAAGCTTTCCGCCAGCCGCACGAGTGATGACCTGTCAACCGTGTCTTGGTGAGCAAGCACCCTGTTGCCAAGTCCTTATCGGAGCGGGGCCTCGTCCAAATCATCAAAGTCAAAGCCAAGCATTTTGGCAGCATCTCGGCCCAGCGTAGTTTTTCCAGCCTTTTGACAGCGGCAGATGTTCAAGCGTGCTGTTTCGAATCGCCGACTGCCAGGGAAGTCCAAGCGGCACCGCGCATGCCGATCAAAGCAACCTGGACCCGGAAGCTTGTTTCTTGACAGGCTGGCTGGGGCCGAGCACCTAGCCGGATTTCTGATCATGCTGCAGTCCAAGTTTCCACCGGCGCATCAGCCTGGGTAGCCGCCATGGTGCAGGAACGCCCGTCCAAATGATGCTGCTAGCTTGCTCACACGTGGTGCACTGGCCCGCAGAGGAAAGGTTGGCTCTGGAGGTCTTAGCCTTGCAACTTCTTGTGGTGGCATGACACTTGAGCCACCCGAACACTGCAGGTGTCATCTCGGTTACGGTCGAGAGCTTCGGAGGGCGACGGCCGCCCACATTACCGGATGACATCCCCACTGAGGGGAAGGACCCACTTGACCAGCTCGGAAATGATCAGGATTGACACGACCTTAGCACGTGACGGCTCGGCGCATCATTGCCACGTAAGATATGCCGTGTTTCGAATGTGTGGCAAGCTCATGATGTGGATCTTTTCCGAAAGCGATGATGCCTTCATGGCGGCCGCGAAACGGCAGAAATGCATCAACTCCTGCTGCTAGTTGTCAAATGGCAGCTGAGATTCACCGCCAAGTTGACAGGGAATGCAGTACTTGAGTTCCGTGGTTCTATCATTTTGACACTGTCGTCTACTCGCCGACGATAGGGCGAGCCTGTACCAAGTGAATTTCCCTCGATCCACCTCGCTCAAGGACGACGCCTTCCATGTCCATAGGGACACCATACCCTGGCAAAGTTGGAAATTATGAGTAGCACTGCACACAAAAGCGGGAGAGCACCTGTCCTCAATTTATGCATGCTGAAGCCGCGCCTTTCTCAATGCCAACAGCAACCTTGCCGATGTCGCGGGCCATCTGCACAAGGTAGTCCCGATCCGTGCTAAGTCTCTCCTGGGAATAGTCGATCGGGACCTTCTTGAGACCATCTGGCATGTCCTGGAGGCCGAAAGAAAAGCTTCCCAAGGACGCAACTTCCACTTCGTGAGGCGGCTGCTTCTGCACAATCCTGGGCTCTCTCTTGCGAAGACTTCTGCCTCACTGTGTCTCTCGCCCTCTCTCTCTCGCTGCCCCTCTCTAATTTACTTCAACAGCAGCACGGATGGACTCTGAAGTCTGGGGACAAGCGGTAAGGAGTTCCCGGCTCGTTGGCCGATGCTAGCGTCTCCCCCAGGCCGACGCACAGCTCGATGTACACCGCCTTGTCATTCCGTGCCACCGCGTCCTTGGAGAAGGCGATGAAGGCGTAGACACTCCCCGCCAAGGAGACCATGGGCTGCACCAGGACGCCCATTGCGATGCCCTCGTAGAGTGGCATTCCGGCAGCATGTCGGCTCTGGACGGCCCGCAATGTGAACATGCTGCTCCAGACCTGAAGAATGGCGTTCTGGAGCTTGGTCTGATCCTTCAAGGCCACTCCTAAGACGGAGTCGTGCAGCCCGGCCCCGGAGACCTTCTCCAAATCCTCGCTGTTCGCGGACGATCGAACTGCAACGCGCTCGGCCTTCGGCAGCTTGGCTGCAATCTCCTGACAAGCGCACAGCTGCTTCTCTAAACCAGTCCCTCTCTCGATGCAGATTGGCGAGGCTAAGCTAGTTTGTTTCAGGAGGTAAACAACGCAAAGCCGCGGTCGAACCTAGCTGAAGCAAAGCCGTGCAGTGCTGTCCTTCAGAACATTCCCAGGTACTGACAGCTTCTCCACGGCAGCCCGTACAGCAAGGGCTGCTGCTTCAATGTCGGGAGAGTTGCTTCCCAGTTTGGACTGCAGCTGTTGAAGAGCAGATTCGAAGACTGCTCCTTGCACCGCCTTCTTCATGACGCCGAAAGGTATCGCGACACCCTTCGGGGCCTTGAAACCAAGCTCCATGGCAAGCTTCTCAAGCTTACCTGAAGAGGCGGCTTTGCTGCCTGCGAACTGTGGCTGGTCCGCAATCTCTACCTCAGATCTGTCACATTCGGCGCTTGGCAGCGGGCTGAAAGCACAATCGTGGCTGCGCATCTCAGGCCGGCACGACCTCGAAGACCTTGTCACTCACCAGGTTCAGTTCGCCGAGCTTAGGCTTCTTCACGGCTGTCGGCTTGCTCTCGCTGACGGTGAGCTCCGCGTCGCCAACTCCTTCTGCATGCACGTCGCCAGAAGCACTGACGGAGAGCCGCACAGCTCTGCCTGGTTGCGCTGCTCCCTGGACTTTCTGGAAGAGCCCAGACTCGGCGGTGCAGGCAAAGACCACCCCAAGTTGACGGGCACGCAGCGCGAGGTGGCTCAGCACGGGAAGGTCACGGGCGACGACAACGCCTTTAACAAGATTAGGGATCTCCTCGTCACCGCTGGCTTCTTCACAGAACACTACAGTACCTTCCTTTGGGAGGGTCTGATTCCATGTCTCGGCCAATGCCCTGAGACGTAGGCAGCGGCCCACACAAGCTCCAGCCGAGATGGCTGTCCACAGTGGAAGCCCCGCACAGGCTTTCGCTTGCTGCATGGCCAGTTGTGCGAGCTTCGAGACTTGAAAAAGGACGGATGCGCGAAGCTCGGCCTCAACGAAGACAGAGATGGCGTGTGAGTCGATGTTGAGCGCCCTGCCCAAATCTGGCACGCCGGAATATGCTTGCTCAAGAGATGCTTGTAGGTTGAAACAAATCCGCAGAGTACGGTCCATGGTCGCCACCAGCCTCTGAGGAAGGAAGGGGCCCTTAGAGCCATCGGAGATATGTGGCGACACAGCTTCTGTCTCTTGGATAGCGATTTCGCACTCCTTCTGAGAGATGCCCGTCAGCTGGGTCTGGGCCAAGGCTGAGACCAAAGACCTCGAGAGACGTTCCCACCATGAGCGAGAGCCCCGACTCTCGTGCTCCAACTGTCCGGCCACTTGGCTCAAGAGCACGAATGCATACTTCTCCAGCTCAATGTCTAGTCTCATCCAGTTCTGTTCAGCTACTCTGTTTACGACCATCTTGCGAAGCTCCGTCAAGGCACCGAGCTGGTGGAAAGGATCTGCATTCGAGTGCTTCAAGTGCAGGAGGTGATCCACCGCACCCCTGACGCTGCCATCCTCCTGGGCAATCTTTCGAGCCGAATCGTCCAATCCTGCAGGGCTGCAGTCACGAAGCTTCACGGCACAGCATCACCCCCAATGCAGCTCTCCTATGATACCCAATCAGAAAGGTGGCATGAGCCCCACACCTGTGGCATTGAAGAAGTCTTTTAGCTCAACTTGAAAGATGTGCATTTCCCGGACGAATCCCTCGGAGTAGCCACCCTCGCGGTCAATACGCTCCACCAGCTGGTCCAGCTTCACCAAGTCCCCAGGATCCGCGCAGCGGTGAAGCTTGTTCTGGAGCTCGTGCCTAGGTTCCGGTCAGTGAAAGGAACTCTTTTGAGATGGCCTTGTGACGGAAATTATCGTGCAAAACAAGACCGGGTGGCAGAAGCGGTTGCAAGTGGCTTTTTGCCTGCCTCTGTTTACTATCTGCCCACCTTTCTCGTCAACGAATGCAGTTCGCAGCGTTTTGGAGAAACTGCTGTTGCAATGTGGTGGCTTGGGGGGGTGGGTGGGGGTCTCTTGCCGCCAACACGATGCTGTTGCTCCTCCTGCTCTTGTTGCACTGGTGCGGTCGCTGGTGGTTGTGGCACGTGCGGCATAAGGTTCATGATGATTCATGTCTTCGACTGTCTGTGGGACGAGCGAAGCCCCTCAACTGTCCCGATTTTAGATGTGTGTGGGGGGGGGGGTCTTGACTTTGTCAAGGACCCGATCAGGCGGACACTTTGTTTCTGAAGCACTCCGTCGTTCTGATGTAGAGCAGAAACAGGGACACAAGAAGTTGCTAGGCCTAGAAGTGGGAAAGCTTTTCTTGCATAACGGAGAAGCCAAGGAGAAAAACGTTGGAACTGCACTTCCTGGCTGTTCGGGAAAGCGCGGCCGCACACGATTTCGATGCACGAGTGAAATACACGCATACTCAGGCAGGAATACATGCCTGTGTTGAATCATTGAACATACACAAGCCCGGGTGGGCACACTTAATCGCTCACACATCACCGTCACACACGTATGTGTGTGTATATATATATGTATATGTACCAATATATATATATATATATATCAATCTCAATATGTACATATATATATATATAAATAAATAAGCAAATCTATATATATATATATATATTTATGCAATGTGTGTGTGTGTGTGCATGTGCATACGTATACATACATACATACATACATACATACATACATGCATGCATGCATGCATGCATGCATGCAGCTTACATACTTATTGCTGTACTGTTTGCATATGGGTGGTTGTCAAAATTAGGGTCCCTTTTTGGGTCCTTGTTATAATACGGCACCTATTATTTAGGGTACCCCAAAAGGGACCCTAATTTTGACAACTACCCATATGTTTGCTCATGTTTCGGCAGTCCACAGTAGCGCACACACGCCGAGCTTTCTTTGTCCCCATGTTTCTGTCTTTCAGGAGGGTATGCCGTAGTCTAAACGCGAAATAAGCGAAGAACAGATGAGCAGTGTAGTTTTGTATTAAAACATGTGCTTCTGTACGTATATGTATTTACAGACGCATATCTATCTATCTATCGACCTATTTAACCAGAGAGGTAGAGGAGAGATAGAGAGAGAGGGAGAGACAAGGGGAGACAAAGGGACAGCAAAGACAGGGGGAGACTAGAGCCGGATGGATCCATCAATGTGCACCGGGCAGCTGTGCGATTGCAGGGTGGAGGGACATGACTTCGATATGACGCACACTTCCACAGAAAGACGCGCTGCAACCTACACCCATGGCGAAAGATGCACAAGCCACGCAATCATCGGCACATATCTGCGAGCAAGGGAACTTGATGTAGAGCTTCATGTCCTTTGGGATGTCGTTTCGGTGCGCAATATCTCGAATTCGAGTCATGGGCACAGCACAGGTAAATTCGTCAGAGAAGGATGGTAAACAAGGGAAGATGCGGCGAGCAATGAAAAGCTCGGCATCTCCATTGGCAGCCAAATCCCACAAAGCCTCTGTGACAGCCTTGGCAGAGTTGGCAGCAGCACAGGGCCTATGATGGCCTCCGTCTTCTTTGCAGGAGATCTGGCCACTGGATATCCACGTCAAATAGGCTTGCAAACAAGCCAACTCAATCAATGAGTTCAGCTGGTCCTCCTCCATCAGTATGCGGGGCAGCTCCAGCTTTAATCGATAGCTAGACCTGTCGCAATTCTCCTGGGCAATGCGTTGGATGAAATCAGCTGTTTTCCCAGTCGCAGTCATGGTATTCAGCTTCTTTCCTTGTCCAGGAGGCTTCTTTGGCCGCTCGCTCTGGGAGCTGTCCCAAATGTGGGTAAGGACAGGGGCCTCCGCCTCTCTCCAGTTCCTGTTGGCACGTCCTTCCCACTTAGGCTGCTGGCCCTTCTCCATGATAACAAACTTGAAGAGCGTTCCTGCACCGACACCATGCGGCATCTCGCCCAGGACCCAGAGATCCTCATGCTTCTGCATCGGGGCTCCGGATGCAGGCGTCCAGGAGCCGAGGCTGGGAACCTCGCCACAGACTACAACCCGAGTGTTGGCCTTCTCCAGGTGCTTGGGCAAACGGAGCTTCAAGCAAATGTCCATGCTCGGCACTCGCTCTATCGCCGGTTGCTCTGGCAGCTCAGGCTCCACGATTCGGGATGCCGGCTCGAAGGTTTGTGGAGCGGCGGTGGCGGAGTTCGCGCTGGCCTTCTTCACCGGGCTACGCTCGGGACTTGTTCCGGTCGAAGCCGGCTGCGGCTGCGCTGGCTGCGTCTGGGGATCGCCAGACCTGGCCTCCTCGTACTTCGCCTTGGCTGCTTTGCTGATCCACACGCACCACCCGTGACCAGATGCACCCTTTTGCCAGTAGTTTCGATCATAGGCTGGTGCGACACGAGGCCCCAAAGCAACTCTGAGTACAGCTGGAGCACCAATCTCTGCAATGTACAGGTCATGGTCGGCCTGCAATATTTTGACCGGGAAATCCACTTTCATGCCAGACTCAATGCGCAACCGGAGAAGCTTATGAATGTCGTTGCGGACATTGTCGCCCCAATCACAAACATGATCCCAGAAAACACATGGAATTCCTGGATGGGTGAGGATGTATGCGTATCCGATCATGATCTTGTCGTTGGGGAAGGGCCAATGTGCCTGGGTGCTGCCTGTGTCGTGGTTGTCCAGGAAAGTGACGGCATGAGTCGGCATCCAGCCGATGACTCCCGGAGGCTTGCCCTTTGGGTCCTTCAGCCGCCAGTACTGGCAGTTTCGGACGGCCTCCTGCAGAACACCTTTTGTGGTGAAGTCGAAGGCTGTACTGGCTTTGCCGGTCGCGTTGATCCAGTTGATGGTGTCCTGGCGATGGCGATCCTGGTTGTATGCCAGGCCGTTGTCGTCGTATGCCATGTCCAACCATAGCTCGCCAACGGCCCATGCAGGCTCAGATTTCTTGCAGTACAAGCCCACGAACTCTGCCGAGTAGCCTTTTACAAAGTCGAAGCGCCAGGCATCGAAGCCGAGCTCGAGGCGAAGCCATCGAAGCCAAACCTGGATGCTTTGCTGCACCTTCTTGTTCCCGTGGTCAATATCCGGCGCTGCATCGAACTTCCCATCGTACTTGCCCGGTCCTCGCTCGCCTGTGCCATCCGAGAACTTGTCTCCCAACGTGATGGCCCATCCCTGCCAGTCCATAACCCCTGCAAAGCTCGGGCGGTGCTCCATGCCAGTGCTGGTGAAGACATTCCATCGTCCGTCCGAGTCCTGCTTGTCACCACACCGGTGATTGATGACAATGTCGGCTACTCCTCGCATGTTCGCCTTGTGCAACTTTGAAAGCAAGCTTTGGAGCGAAGCCTTGTTGCCGTACTTGGAGCCATCGACGTTAAACAGCTGAGATGGGAGGTAGCCCTGTGGTGCAACCGACTGTGAGCAGGGTGGCAACCAAAGGTCTGTGATGCCCATGTCTTTGAACATTGGTATCTTGGATGCCACTATGCTGTACCAGTCTCCTCTGCCTGCCTGGTGACTTTCCCAATTGAAGGCCTGAAGCATTACAGTCCTGGAGGGATCAGCATAGTCTGTGATTTCTTGCATCTCCTGTAGAAGCGTATGGCTGGAGACTCGTCTCTGCTTCATGTTGAGATCTGCACGCGCCAGGTCTGCCACATGCGCCTCCTCTGCTGCGGCCTCCCTGAAGAGCTCCTCAGCGTCCAGCATCATCAAACTTGGTGTTCTGCTCATCTGAATGTTTGTGGAGCCATCTTCATTCAGCATGAGGTGTCGGGAGGTGTTCTGCTTCATGAAAGAGGGCTTGCTTTCCACGGCTTTGGGTGTCTGAGCTGGGGGATCCTGGTGCCGAGTCGGCTGTGGCGCAGGCTTACTCTCCGCGACAGGCTTCAACTTCGGTGTGTCAGCCGGCGAAGCCGCCCGGGGTGGCGGCCGAGACAGCCGAGTTGTCTCCACGCGGAGATCAGGTTTGCCGTACTCGCACCGGATGATGACCATCTTCGGTTCATCTAGCTGCAACTGTAGCTTCTTGTTGTTGCCACCTTCCCACTTCGCATCCTGTCCGTTCTCGCCCGCAACCACCACTTTGAACTCGACAATGCTGGAGGACTTCATCTGCACATCAGCCGAAGTCCATTTGGGGAAGCTTTGTGCAGTCGTCATGCAGGGTACACCTCAGGCGTCGCACGAGACAGGTAAGACAGACTCTAGCCCTAGAGTTTTGACTGTGCAGCCCGTGCCTCCCTCCACTTTCCATGCCCCCAGTTCTGGCGCTGAGCCGACGATCCAAACTGCTTGCCCTGGCTTCGTGCGGCTGCAATCGACCCGGAATTGGAGTACCGAAGACATATCGTCCGGACGAGGTGAGGGGCAAGGCGACGGACGTGGCGTGGGAAGCATGTGCTTGTCAGTTTGGGCAAGTCTGGTCGGGCTATACACTCGGGTTTGCTTGGGGCAAAACCAAGGCTCGCCGTCCGGATGTTCCGTGACTGCAGTTTTGCAGTGTCGATCATGCCTCAAGCTGCTGAGTTGCCATGCACTTCAATCCAGCTTTGCCCATCTGTAGATACACTTCGGCTATTCAGGTTAATCGTATTATGCCGCTGTGGAAACGAAACCAGCTTTGGGCGCAAAAGGGCGGCACAGAGAAGTGTCCCGTCTCTTACGTGAGGCGACACGTCCATGTAGATGCCACGTGCAAGCTGCGAAATGCAAAGCCTCGGCCAGAGCCCGAGCCCATGGCTTCGGATTTCCTCGTCCACTTTATGCCTGGCAATGTTCTGCCATCTGCTTCACCGGAAAGTTTACTACGCCAACTACTGCCATTCGGCATGTTGTGCCTTTGCCGCATCGCATCGAACTGGCAGGCAGCCGCAGCCTCCCGGATCCAAGCGTTACTTCCCGTCCGCGTGCTCATCGCGGCTCTAGTAGGACATGCTAGCATCCACGTAGGCCCAGTCCCCCAGTTGTGCTCACATGTGGGCGGAACTGCTTCCTGCCTCTGCAAGCGCCTCCTTTTCTAAGGACAAGCCGAGGAAAGATGCCACTGCCCCGATCTCCGCCGAAAGGTCGGCCTGCACACAGACTCGTTGAAAGAAAGACGTCATGTCCAACGTCCGGCGGTTTGGGACCTTCAGGTCCTCAAAGTACACAACACCTCGGGCAGAGGCAACAACGAGTTTCCTGAAATTACATCGAAAGCGAGTGTAGAGCGGATACGATCCGGATGGTGCTGAGACAGCTTCCACCTGAATGCGCACGGTTTCGCAGACGCCGCAGCATCGCTTCCATCGTGGTGTGCATCCCAAGGATCCCCAAGGGCCCCTGGGCGAGGAACCATCCATTCACGTGGTCAAAGTAGGATCCACCGTACTCCAGTGACCTGATGTGGCATCCCTCACGGCTTTTGGCTCCTCTGCCATCGGTACAGGAACTTTGACTTGCCTTTGGCCGCTGATCCACTGGTCTACCCATTCGTCCCAGCCTTGCGACTCACAAATCGAAGCCATCACATCATGCAACGGGCTACTGCTCCTTGCGCTAGGGTCTGGGAGCCGCACTGCCATCCCAGCCGATGGCCTGGTTGTTGGCATGGTGATGCCTCCAGGGCAGTGTTTTGCTATGCCAGTAACCAAGCTTCTGGTGGCACGACGCAGATGGCCTGAGCGAGATCAATGCGTCCTCCGAGCGCGGCTGCTCACTTACCGCCCAGCACAGGCCAGGTCTTGCAGCACGATGCCCTTGTATCAGCTAGCCCGTCCTTCGGATTGCGCACCACGTAGATCACCTTCCAAAGATCTTCCGAACCCCATGCAACATTGTGACGACTTGGATGCACAGAGACGTGAACCTGCCTTCCCGTAACTTTGAAGGATGCTGTCCTTGCCATGGGCCAATCCTGGATACCTGAGTTTCTGCGACAATCTCGCCCCGTAAGATCCAAAGAAAACTGCACTTCTACAGAGCTGGAGCTTCCTTGACAACCAGCTGGGGGCCCCAGCATGTCGGCGGGAACATGGCTCTTGAGAACGCGTGGGTGTGGCAGTTCCTCGAGTTTTCGGACCTGACTTTTGTCCGACCAGAACTGTTCCATGTGACATACCACCGCTCGTCGCTGCAATGCCAGTCTGGGAAAAGGGTATTCGAGACTCCTGCATAGCTAGCAGAGGATGCAATGCCTCAGACAGCAAGGCGAGGGCGGCAAGTCCGAGCAGACGCAGATGAATTGTGACTAGGCCGACTAGGCAGCAAGCTTCCCTCGAGGAAGAGAGCATGATCCTCCTTGGCCAATTGAAACCAGTGGACAGAATACAGGCGAGGAGTCAGCTGCAAGACCCACTGGGCTTTTCCTGTTGGGCACGAGAACTAAATGTGAAACGGTCTAGCGGCTAGCGGAGTCTAGCGGCCCGCACTAGAAGAGGACAGTCCTAGGACCTAAGAAGGTCGGGATGAGATCCCTCAAGGTTTGGCGTTCCTCGATGTCAATTCCGCACGCGCGGAAGTCCAAGAGCATATTTTGGAGGCCAAGCGGGAGCCTCTGCAGCAGAGCCCTGGCTCCGACGACTGTGATGCGGCAGCGCGCGACGTCGACGCGCAAACTTTGCAGCGAAGACAGCTCTTGCAGGCTTTGCGCTAGAGCACATGCCCCATCACGTCCAATGGAGCAACCGCCTAAACCCAAATGCAGCTTCTCGAGTTGTGGCGGAAGATTTCTCGAGAGCGCTACGCTTCCGTCTGCCTGAATGTTGCACCAATCCAAGTCCAGGTGCAATGATCGAAGTCCTTGTGGTATGCCTTCTGCCACAGCATATGCTCCGCTGGCTCCGAGTGGACATCCCTCGAATCCCAACTGCAGCGCTTGTAGGCTTGAAGGCAACTGTGACATAACAATGCAAGCATCCTCGGCTAGGAGGTCGCATCCGCCCAAGTGGAGCCGTAGGTCTTGCAGGCGCAGTAATTCGGGCAGGTTCTGGGCAAGAGCGCGGACACCTGCTGCTGGCAAGCGGCAGTCACGAAAGTCCAAACACAGCTCTGATAGTTCGCAAGGAAGGTTGCGAGCCACTGCCCGTGCACCCTCTCCTCCAACAGGACAGCCCCGCATCGACAAATGCAGCTTTTGCAAAGATGCCGGCAAGGACTCTGCAATAGCTCTTAACCCAGGGGCTCCTATGCCACAGCCGCGAAATGCCAGCTGCAAGTTTGTCAGATTTCGTGGCAGGCTGTGTGCAAGAACAGCTGCTCCATCACTACCGATACTGCACCAACGGAAACGTAATTCGAGTTGGTGGAGTTCGGGAGGGAGACGAGCAACCAAATGCTGCATACCTGCCCGGCCCATGTCACAGGAGACAAAGCGCATGCCGGACCGGAAGGCCAGATACCAGACATCGGCACTTTGCAGACGCGTCCAAGAGCTTTTGCAAAGCCGCTGAAGGCAAAAGAGCCCTGCGGGGACAAAGGCCGCAATCTGCAGCGTCACCGCATCATGAACAAGAGACATGGGCTGAGAACGCCATTCGTGCTGCTTGCAAGGAATAAGCTACGAGTAGCTATCCTGTCAGCGGAATACAACTTATATAGATTACCCAGGCGCCGTGTTGCACCCGCTGACGGGTTTCCAGGCTGATCTCGCATCCTGTTGTAACCGGTTCATGCCTGGGTTCTCTGTTTGTGTACGTGTTGCTGTGAGATCTGAGTGCAACAATGCTCCGACTTGCTGTGGCATGAAATCATCCGTGAGGCAGATGCCCGTGAGTCCAGCGGCAGCATATGCACGCAGAGACACATGTGAGACATCCCGGCTGTTAATGAAGGAGCGCCTGCACAGTCCGACTCGGACTGCTGCATAGTTCGCACGCGGTCCGAAAAGACAGCTCACCACGATCTGAACCTGAGGCCAAGTCCAGTTTTGAAAGTAGCGGCATCCCGTCATAGGACCGCAGTCTGTTCCGAGGCGCTCGCCATCCATGTAGTTCCACAGCGCGGGAAGGTGACAACAAACACCTACTCATCACACCACACTGCACATCTTGCAAGGGCACGTGTCAAGGCGAGTCGAATCTGACAGATAATAAGCCTCAGGACTCTGCTTGCAGATGACATACATTGAGGCTGTGGCATCATCTGGCCTGCAGTGGAAGACCTCCCTCAAGGCAAGGAACCTCATTCGCGCAGAGCTCGGAAACTGCAGATTACACTCCAAGACCTTGGACATGCGCGTGGAGGCGGGGTCCAAGCCGCACAAGCGCTCGGCGGCAGCAAGCGCCTGTTGGAACGATACTGGCGCACATAGCGGTCTGTGCTGCCTGTATCACTGGAAAGCACGACCTCCGCGTGACGTCCCAATCCTGCTTTTGCAATCGGGGCTTGTGCACTACTGTAGCTGCTAACAGCTGCTAACTGGCTTAGCGCAGCTTCACTACGAGCATAATGGAATGTCTGGCTCCTTCCAAACAGCGGCATGCAAGCGCAAGGCCTCGAAAGGCAAATGCAAGCTTCGACGGATGGATTCTGAGCGCTTTCAGCATGTTTCGGTCGCTCCCAGGCTCTTTACTCTTTCCATGCCACATGAGGCCCACACAGTTCAGATCGCACGGAGCCAACATTAAAGCCTCATCAATGCACGCGTTGCATCGCATTTGACTCAGCATTCGGAAAGAGCTCGGCAGTTCAGGCGCCAACTTCTTCAAGTGTGCGAAGTGCTTCCGAGTAATTACCTTCCTGCACTCGCAAACGAGGGAGAGGCCACGAGCATAATGGGGATTTTGTTGGAGCTGTTTGCACGGAGATGTTCGTACCAGCTTCCTAATGTCGCTCACGTGCTGGCTTTATCGGCAAACCTCGACCATGACTGCAGCCAGCTGGAACCTTGCCTCACAAAGTCTCTTTCAGATGCTTGCTCACTGACAGCAGGGGCCCAGGTTGCGCCTCAACTCGACTGGGTTGAACTGACATGGCCTCCGCCACAGGAAGTTTGCATAAACAGGTGTTCACATATCGCGCAGGCTGGCGAAAATGACGCCTGCTGCAGTTGGTATTTTCGGCCATGAACATCCTCGGTGTGCAGGTGTGCCCGGTGATTCAGCTTGGTATCTCGTGTACATGTTGGCTTCAGGCATAGACCGAATCCAAGGAACACGCCAAGTTGACGCCTGCAGAAACGCGAAGGTGTGACAATCCATATGAGTTCCTGCTGACTTCCGTCCGCAGCCAAGGGTGGCACGGAGTGCATATTCAAGGGCGTCCGATCCTGAACGAATAAGGCATTCCAACAGCTTGTTCCAGAACAGGCGCAATGCTACCTTGAACGCCTTGGGCTTTCAGGTGCTGCAGCTGCTGGAGGGAATTCTCCGACACCTGCCGCGACTGTGCCGGATGCTGTAGACGCGAGGTGTCCGGGTCTGCTCATAGCTTTCTCACCGGCACAGCCTGTCGCGCTTGCCCTCGTTGTTCGCTTCGAAGGAGTGCCTGCTGTGCTGTTTTTTTGTCGGTTCGAACACGAGCCGCCCGGGTCTACAGACTCGACAGGAATCTTGATGCAGAGGAGGTGCGCATGCAAGGTTCACCTGGTGCTCAAGATGGCTGAGCTCATCGGCTTGTGACTTGACCTGTGCAGGGAACAGTGACAGAGCGGATGTAGCGGTGGAAGCGCTGCCTCTGGAACATGTGTCGGCACTGAAATCTCGGAAGTCTCCACGATGCTTGCCTTCTCTGTCGGCCTCTGCCAAGCATTAAAGCATGCTGAAGCTTGATTGTTTCGTCGGAAGCGAGGATCGCCACTCTGCAACTTAGAGGCCCAGGCGACGTGTGCTTCTGCTGCTTCCGACATGCCTCGATCTCACCTACACTACTACCAGACCGCTGATGTTCGAGAAGTAGAAAACTTAAAAACTCTGCATGAAGCTTGCGCGCCAGCAACTTGGGTGAACACTCGTGTTGAGTTCTGAGATCTCGACCCACCTGCCTCTCTGCGGCAGCTGCAGGACCTAGCAAAGAAAGCACGGTCTGGCCGTGTGGCCCGCTCACTGCTTCGGCGGTCTCGGGAGTGCGCAGGACAGACTGCCTGACGTGCCTGGATGACCTGGGCCGTGGCAGCGTTCTGCACATGCGCTGCAGCCCCTGATCTCTGCATCTTTGCACCCTTGGATGCAAACCCTGCTCTCGGCATATGGGACCTTTGCAACAAACACATATTGCCCATTGGCTGTGTGCTGTTGTCTGCTCCTCTGCAAACAAGAACATCGGGCTGCCAGCGCTGTGATGTGTCTTCGCTTGCGATGTCGCCTTTCAGGGCTCAACGCCAATCGTGACAATGACTAGCCTTGGCCAACAAATGCCAACAACAAAGTCTACCCAGTGCCACTGTGCTAACTCAGCCGGTTGGCACCTGCACAGCTGACCCCCCATCATCGAGCCACATTCCGAAGCATACGACCGCCGGGGATCGCAGCAAGCCATCAGAATGAAAGAAGGCATCTGGAATCTAGCAGCGCCAGCGTGGCTTTGACGTAAGAACTCATCTCAGATCTCGAAAGTGGTGATCATGGTTCTGGGATCCTTTAGACATTTTCGATGGCCCATGGTTTGCATATCCCACAGCCGCTTGCATGCTTCAGCCAGTCTGGAAACATGACAGTCACGGCGGTTGGAACTGCTGGATGTGGTGTCATGAACGTCATGAAGGCTTGCGGCCCCAACATTGCGGCCCTAGGAGATTTGATTCGCGATTCACAGCGCCTCATGAGCTGCGCCATAGCACATCCGCAGGCACGGACGATTCCAAGCCTCAGGTGCGGCGTGAGAAGTCAACGACACGGCGTGCTTGGGTCGTCTCGCAAGGTTGCAAAGTGGCTGATACAGCAAGTCAAAGGCCCTTTTGCCAACATTCGCACCCTTGTGGACCTCCTGGGTGATCACCAAATCGAGTTTTGCAGTCTGACTAAGGTTGGTTGAAGTGTCGTTGTGCCTGGCACCAGGATGCGTCGAGATTTGTGAGACTGCTGAGGACTACCTGTCCTGCGCCCTTGAGATGCAGCGCGGCTTTGCTCCCAAGCAAACTGGCCGCGTGCGGCACGCACGTGCTCTGGTAGGACCAGCTGGACAAGTGGAAAAGCAATCTCCGTGCCACATCTGCCACTGCCACGAGATCACAACTTGACATGTGGATCTGTCGTAACTGTCGTATGCAGAAAGGAAGGACGTAGTGTGTGGGCAGTGGCAGCGAGTCATGCAAGGCCTTTACTCAAAAAACCATTCCTTTCAATCTCGAGGCATCGCCTCCTGGGAGCAGCGCGCGCAAATGTCAAGTGTTGTGCTGCGGCTGTTCTGGCCACTATGGGCCTTGCATTGGGCCCCCGCATCATTAGCATGTAGCTGGCGCAAACGTTGAACAAGGGCCCCTGGTGAGATCCAGGATTACTGCAAAGCATTTAAACTGTAGAGGAGGAACGGCAGCTTGCCTGGAATAACATGGAGTAACAGCAGCCGGCCCGGCAGCCGGCGCCAAGGAAAGTGATTCTGGTGGAGGTAAGTTTCATCACGTGCATAGCCTGCCGATGATCACTAAGCCACCAAGCAGCATCCCGACTACCAACTTGCCAAGCAATCTGTCCGGCCAGCGTGCCTTCTGCTGCAGGGTAGCTGCGATACCTTCTGCTCACGCAAAGTCAGCTACGTGTGTGCCCTCAGCAGCAAGAAAGCTCACTTTCCGGCTGGCGGGCACGATGCAGTTCATGATAAATCTGCCAGGATCTTGTGTGACGAAGGAGGGCATGTCGTCCATGATGTGCATGACAAGGTTGGCAGCCTCCATGCCACAACCTCCGCCCATTTCTCCCTTGCAGAAGTTGCCTCGCCCGTAGTCGCTCCCCATGCTCGACTCGCACGGGCCGCAGCCTCTTGCGAGGCCCTCGCCTGTGGCGGAACCCCACATGCCAACGACGCCTGCTGTGCTCATTGGCAGCATCCCCACGCCGCCCATCCCCATGCCACCCGCCACTCTCATCCTCAGGTTGAACATGCTTTGCATTTCAAGAGCCAAGTGGATGCTTTTAGCTTGCCTTTCTTTTGGGGCAACGACACATTGCACATGAGCCGGCATGCTCCAGGTGACTTTGGGGCCTCCTGCAACCCTATCTGCAAACGTTTGGAAGCCGAGGTTGCGACATGGGCATATTTCCCATACCTTGGATCCGCAGATGGGTGCAGGTCAAATTAGACCTGGAAGCTGTGCTAAGGACGCAACAAGCATCCTCATGGCCGTTCTGTCGCTCCACCTGCCAATCCCTCGGTGGCGGAGCCTGGATTGGTCTCCCATGCAAGCTGAAGCTATCGTGATACTCTGAGTGCCTGTTCTTGCCAAAGCCTCTCGGCATTGCTTCTCTCTGCCCATCTTCTAAACCAAACCTGTTTTGGTGGGAGATCACACTTGCACGACACGCTAAATACAATCCATCTTTGGCAGTCCTGGGCATGAGACTCTTGTACTACCTGCACCGTCCACACCTCGGCTAGCCATGTCTTGAGTGGCTCTGCATGAACCAGTCCAAGCTCCATGCGATGGCTTCCTCCAGCCCCTTTGGCACTCCAATGATGTTCACTGCCTGCACGTCGTTTGTGTCTGCCGCGACCTATTTTCAAGGCCCCTTCGTTGCACCGCACCCTGTCGCCACCAGGCCCATGGCCTCGCAGCCAAGGCGAAGTCATGAGTAAGGGGCTTCGCAAGGCTGGCCCGCAGCAACGCCGCTTCAGTTCCCTTGCTTTCATTCCGAACGCTGCCAGATTCTGGACAATCAATGCGGACGGCAGTGTCACTTAGCGTTCAGGATTTTGTCCAAGAACGACTTTCCCAAAGTCGCATCGTACCTTGCAGGGCAATTTCCTACTCTTGCCATTGCGCCGTGGCCCACTGGAAAGATCCATGAGCTCATGCTCGAAAAATCGCTACGCGACACAGCACACCATGACAGGGCAAGATATTTGAAACAAGCGTCTTCTGCAGAACGTGTAGAACCACGTCATAGGAGTGATAAATCTCGTGCAGGATCAGCGCAAGCTTCAAGAGCTGGTCCTTGGAGTGAGTCTGAAGCTCCCAGAGGTCGCGGACATAGACGGCATCGGCCCAGAGTTGCTGCGAGATGGGTTGCAAAGGGTTCGCCGAGAGGTGCAAAGGTTTCATTGGCCTTCCATGCAGCGAAACGAAGCGGTGGAAGACAAAACCAAGGCCTCGAAGGAAGCTGTCCACATCTGCAAAAAGTGGCTGGTGCTCGTACATATCGACAAACTCCACCTCGGGAAGATTAGAACCGCATCTCTGAGCCATAACCGACAAAAATGACGCATTGCACTTATATGCAGCTCTACACCAACATGAAGCGCTGCCGGGCAAAGCCTAGGGGCCTCTGTGTGAATCACCAAGACCTCCTTGAGTGCCTGCTCAGCTCCTTTGAGTACTGACAGCTCGAAGCCCTGTACGTCGATCTTCAAGTAGTCCACTCCTCTTCCTGGGATCTGGGGGAGGAGGTCATCCAACCTCCTCGTTTCCATCTCGGTACGCTCCACCACAGTTGTGACCTCCTCCAGCTGCACGAAGCGACGCAGCAACGGGATGTTAGGCTCTAGCATTGAAGAAGTCATTGCTGCAGAACATCGTCGGAACTGGCCCCTGGAGCCATCACCCAGAGCCCAAGGCAAAAACTTAAAGACACAGGAGTCGGTACCTGGCCCAGACTCACCATCTGCACTCAAGCTGTCGATCAAGGTGTTGAGCCGATCACACTCTTCTGAGCACGGCTCAAAACCTACCACGGACTCACAGTGGCCCCTCCTTTGCAGTGGCCGCCAAACTTCCTCTGCTTCGTCGAGAAACATGGCACCAACGTCCACAACACGGGTCTTGGGAAGAGACACCACGCCGTTTTGACTCAGAAAGTCTCGCAACGGAAAAAGCGGTGGTGGATGTTTCGGCGCTGCCGGCGCACCCGACTGACCGGCTTGACCATTCGGTGTGGCCGAGGGCACTGAGCCAGACGAGGCAGAGGAAGCTCCGGCTGGTGCAGACGCCAACGGCTCCATGAGCAATGTGCGGAAGTATTGCTTTGTGGAAAGAATTTTGACATCGCTGTGGCTAAAGGGGGCGTGGGAATTGTGGCCCCCGGATCTGTATTCCAGGCTTTAGCATGCAGTTGCATTGTTGCGGATTGAACTCCAAAAGCAAATCCGGCTGAAATCTAGCATACATGGGCTGGGAAGGCAGGTGGAGTTGCAGACTTGGCAGAATCTACCTGGTAGACACACTCTGATGCTTTTGTCCTGCACGGCTAGGAATGTGAAGCACGACTGCAGGCAAAGCAAAGAACAAGGCCAAAAAATGTTTCACTTGAATATGGCTAAACACGCTCAGATTGTGTGTGTGTGTCTCTCTCTGTGTGTGTATTTATGTATGTATGTGTATATATATATATACACACACACACACACACACATATATATATATATATATATATATCCGCCGACCCCGCTGGGGCGGCGCCCAGAAGTTACATGTGGTTTTGCATGCCCTACGCAACCGCACTCAACTGCATTCGGCTCCACTC